CGCAGGCTGGTTCGGGTGGAGGTCCTTCTCTCTCACAAGAAACGACACCCGTCTCAACGAATCAAACGCGGGCAGCCGTCACCCACCGCGTCTCAGCTTTCGGCAGCTCAGCTTAAGATACGAACGTTACGTAGAGTGGCTAAAACATGCTCGCCGTTTTTCAGATGGATGGACAAGGTTTTATGCAAATGGTACAAGTTACAGTTTGCAACCCGAACCCCTCCATTCAGAGGAGTTATAAAAAAACGGTCCCGTCATCATCAGACTGATTCTCATCCCTAAATGCAGAAATCCCAGTGTTTTCTGATAAAAGTAATCTACAGAGTCCCCCAACGGAGAGAAAACACAAGGTTTTTACTCACGGATCGGAGGGGTGAGACCGTTTTTTGGATCTGTTATATAACATCCAGAGAACGCATACCGATCATCCTAACACAGAGACGAGAGTTTTTGTTTTACCTGGATGATCTGCTGCTCCTGTCACTCCAGACAGGAGGCGCTGATGCAGGATCAGGTGTTGACATCACACCTGTTAAATCTGGGCTTCGCCATAAATTGGAAGGAAGCTCAATTTTCCCGGCCCAGACATTTGTTTCTGGGAGTGGAATTAAATTCAACCACCATGAAAGCTCGTTTATCACAAACTAGATTCGACACTTTTTTTTAAAAAGTCAACTCAGCCACGTAAGACCTGGCAAGTGATAACAGCTGTCTCCGTCATGAAGCTGTTGGAAATGATGTCACTCACACAGTGTTTTCCGCTGGTTTGTTACACATGAGACGCCTCCAGAGGTGGTTTTGCACGTCTGCATGTGGATCCAGTAAAACAAAACGACGGATGATCATTGTCCCTTCCTCTGTGAGAGCAGACCTCCGACTCTGGGGAAACACCTTGTTTTCTGTCAGAGGGAGTCCCCGTCAGCAGACCCACGTCACGGGTCAGTCTTCACGGACACGTTGCTGTCAAGCTGGGGGGGGGGACATGCCTATCTCAAGCAGTAGGGGCGCTGTGGCCCCACTACACATCAGCCCACATCAATGTTTTGGAGTGTCGCACAGCACTGAATATGATTCAACACTTTGCTCCCGTGCTACAGAATCAACACGTGTTGATTCACACAGACAACATGGTGACTGCTGCGTACATAACCATCAAGGGTGTGCGTTCAGCCCAGATGTTACACATTGCGTGAAAGCTACTGTGTTGGGCTCATCAAACCTGCTCTCTATTAGAGCGGTTTTACATATCCGGTGTTCTGAACAGAGGGGCAGATGTGACGTCCAGGGGCGGCCCACGTCACGTGGACCGGACCCTCCATCCAGATCTGATGTTTTCAGACGTAGCAGAAGTTGGCAAAGCAGCTGTGGACCTGTTTGCGACGCGAGAAGAACGCTCAGTGTCAACTATGGTTTTCCCTGAGCCCGCGAGACGATCCATCGCTGGGGGGGGGGACGCATTTGCTCACAGCCCGTGGCCCAAAATGCTTTTATACGCGTTTCTTTTCCCCCACCTCCTCTGTTTTTTACGGTTCCTGAACCGAGTTCAGGAGGAGGGATTGACAGCTCTCCAGGTGGCTCCCGGCGTGTGAACGCACCATGGTTCCCAAGCCTGCAACGTCTGTTGTTGGGTCGCCGTGGAACTGTCGTGGAGGGAGGATGCTCTCCTTCAGGCAGGAGGAGCGACCAAGAGTTACCCAGAAATAGGTCAACACCTGTGGGTCTGACCGCTGAGCGGTCCCACTTAGAGGATGGGTCTCCCTCAGGAGATAGTGTGCACAATTCAAGATTCACGTGCTGCATCTACCACAGTTCTGTACACATCAAAGGGGACGGCTTTTCAGCGCTGGTGTACAGAGAAGGTTTAGAAGCCACCTCATGCCTTTTAGGCGGCGTGTTGTTTTTCTACAACAGCTGATGGATAGGGAGTTGGCTTTCAGTACGCTTTAACGTACGTTGCAGTCATCTATTCCTGCCACGAAGGTTTCGGAGACAGAACAGCTTTTAATCACCCGCTGATGAAGCGTTTTTCTAAAAGATGTTCAGAGACACAGGCCTGCTTCACGTCCACTTGCTCCACAGTGGGATTTAACGCTGGTCCTGCGAGCCCTGATCAAAGCTCCAATTGAGCCTCTGGATCAGGTTTTCACTTAAATTCTTGTCTCTTTAAACAGCCCTGCTGCTGGTTTTAACACCCGCTAAGAGGGTAAGTAATTATCTGCCCTCTCTGTTGCTTCGTCATGCCTTAGAACTTAGGCTGACGGGCAGCTCAGCTGATTTAAGACCAACCCAGCTTTTATGCCTAAAACATCACGAGCTCTTTTAAATCAAGAGTGATATCGTTGGAGGGGTCTTTTCCCCCCCACAGATCAGAAGAGGAAGCATCTTTTCATCTTCTCTGCTCGGTGTGGGCGTTGACGTGTTGCATAACGCGCACAGCTGCAATGCGTTCCAAACTCAACAATTGTTTGTGCATTATAGAGATGCATCTGCAGGTCGCCGTTATCCATCCAGCGCTTGTCACACTGGCTGTGTGAGGCCTTTTCTGAAGCCTACAGAGCATCAGATTTAGAGTCTCCTGTCAACCTCTAAGCACACACGACCAGGGGTATCGCATCTTCGACTGCTCTGCATAATGGTATGTCAATGCAGGACATTTGCACTGCAGCTGCATGGTCAACACCCTGCTAATTTATTCGCTTTTACCTACGTGATGTAACGGCTCGTTCCATGACACATTCTGTCCTTAGTGCTCTAACAGAATGAATATTATTGTTTTCATGGAACTCTGTTTAAGCTCACTTCTGTCTGCATGCATTACAGTGTGAGATGTTGTTTTCAGTCACAAGTTGTGTCTGTGATTTTGGTTCTATTGTCACTAATCAGTTCATGACTATTGTTACCAATCAGTTCATTTGATCAATAATCAATTCATGGACATTAATCTGTTTATACTGTTCAGCCATGAACCAGTTGGTTCATGCCCCCCCCCCCCCCTTCTTTTCAACTTCTTCTTCCCGTTGAAAGTTTTCCGGGGCATTCATGCTTTGTCAGAACGCATAGTTACTCAACATGCGTCTGTGCATGGCACATAATTACGCGATGCGTAGTTATGCACACGGGGAGCTGAGTGACAAGACGTTTTTTGGGCAAGCTTCCGCTTCTTACTGTGTTCGAATGGACCCAGTGAGGCGAGGACCACATCGGCTTCGCCCTTTACCCACTAAAGCGAAGGCCTTAAAGGGCGAAGCTTATACGACATAGTACGTTGGTTACGTACTGTAACCCCAGATTCTATGAGTATAAGCGTAGCCCTTTAAGCGTCGGGCCTCACTGGCTCTTAAATGGCTGAAGAAAAAGCTATTTTGGGAGCCGATTTCCCGCTCTTAACGTAATTTATACGGACCGGGTGGGGCCCACACAGCAGGTGGGCGTGGACTAATTTTTTTCAGTGCTTATGCTCTGCATAACGGGATAAACCCACTAAAGCGAAGGCCTTAAAGGGCTACGCTTATACTCATAGAATCTGGGGTTACAGTACATAACCAACGTTTCACAGCTTGATACTTGCAGCCAAGATCTAGTTTACCCTCCAGAGATATTTATCAGTACAACAGTAGACAATCATAAAAACATACGACTTGAATAATACAAGAAAATTGTGTATATATGTTGTTGTTAAGCACTTTGATAACAGGTTCTGTTTTAAATGTGCTCTATAAATAAACTTGACTATATATATATATATATATATATATATGAAACATAAACAGCTGCATTATAAAGTGATGTAAAATACTAAAAACAGGAACATGCCTGTTGGTTTATGCCATGAACTTAGCAGATGATTAAAGCCATTTAATCACTTTAATATCCACTTTAAAACTAGGAATAAAAAGAAACATGTTTTGTGTTAGAATTTAATTCTAACTTTTAAAACTTATCCAACATTAATAAAACTTACCTCAAGTTGTCTTTTTGGACATGCATGCATATATTTGTACAAATTGTACTTGAGAGCAGATTATTACAGCCTCATATAAAATCAATGATCATGATAATATCAGCACGGTGGCACAACTGGTAGAGCTGCTGCCTCTCAGCGAGAAGGTTGCCGGTTCAAACCCCGGTCCGGGGGCCTTCCTTGGTGGAGTTTGCATGTTCTCTCCGTGCATGCGTGGGTTTCTTCTGAGTACTCCAGTTTCCTCCCACAGACCAAAAACATGCATGTTAGACTGATGGTAACTCTGAATTGTCTCTAGGAGTGAGAGCGTGAATGGTTGTTTGTCTCGTTTGTCTCTATGTGTCCTTGTGATGGACTGGAGACCAGGGTGTCCCCCGCCCCTCGCACAGTGATTGCTGGACATGGGCACCGGCGACCCCTGTGACCCAAAATGTAAGAAGCAGGTAAAGATGATGGATGGATGACGATATCGGAATGGTATCGGTATCTCCCAACATCCAGATTTAGGTATCGAGATCGGATCGGAAGTAAAATAAATAATTAAATTAAAATAAAAAAAAGTGGATCAGTGCATCCCTAATGTGAAGTCCACAAAGAGCACATGAACGTCAGAGTCCTCCTGCTCCAGGTGGGTGGGAGCAGTGTGGACACAGACGAGATGGTGTCCTCTGTTGATCGATTCACTTCAGCTAAGGTCATTGGCTGTGGCAGCCATCTTGATCTGGGTTGACTCTGGGAGTTACTTACCTGTAGTTGTTGAGGCACATCTAATGTTTATTATCTGTTCATTTCATTTGAAATCCCTCCGGTAGTTCATGATATGTTTTGCTAATAGACGAGCTCAAAGACGCAAACAAAACTATGGAATTTGTGTTTTATTATTGTTAAACACATAAGAAAAAGCCAAATGTATATTTAGAAATGTTCTTCTTCTTCACTTTGTGATTTATGATGATGTGGTGGGAATAGCACAGGCTGATGTAGAGATCTGGAGATATGCTTTGAATTCTGATTTATTGCTGTTTGTTGGCAGGTTGACCCTAAGGACTACATGCTGGTGGGGCTCAAAGATGTCACCGTGGGCCGTCTTCCTGGAAAACTCAACGGCCAGCAGCTTGTCATCCAGGAGTGCGAGAACTGCAACATTTACGTGTTTGACCACTCTGCAACCATCACTATCGATGACTGTGTCAACTGCCGCATCGTGTTCGGTCCTGTAAAGGGAAGTGTGTTTTTCCGAGACTGTAAAGACATGAAGTGTGTGGTTGCCTGCCAGCAGTTTCGCACACGGGACTGTAAAAAGATGGATGTGTTCCTGTGCTGCGCCACCCAGCCCATCATCGAGTCTTCTACAGGGATGAAGTTCAGCTGCTTTCAGTACTTTTACCCCGAGCTGGCCTTCCACTTTAAGGATGCTGGCCTGAGCATATTCAACAACAACTGGAGCAATGTCCACGACTTCACGCCAGTGTCTGGAGAGAACAACTGGAGCTTGTTGCCAGAGGACTCGCCACTTCTGGATTTTGTTGCGATGCCGGACCCTGAGTCGGAGTTCAAGTCTGTTCGAGTCTCTGTTGAGCCATTGCGGAGCATCGTGCCTTTGACAAACGGAGGGAGGCGGAAGGACAGTGACGAGTCCTGCCTCTGTGTTTTCTTTGCTGGGGAGTACTCCACTGCGAATGCTCGGAAGCTGATTGATGAGGTGAATGTCACCCTGACAGGAAGGTTTTCTCTGGCTGTGTAACGCTGGTAGGAGGAGGAAGTTTGTGTGGGTGAATGCTTAACAAAGTTCACTCTATGTTTGATTAATTGGAAACTTCCTGCTGAATAATCTGCTGTGCCTCAGTGTTGAAACACGTTAATCTGACTCCAGTCTTTCCTGTTTTTGTGTTTCTTCATGCTTGATTGTTTTTCAATAACTTTGAAATAACAAAGTTTTAAATGCATTTCCTTAAGATCACAAAGTTATGCAATCATTCACTGCCATTTTTCTAATACAGTAGTCCCTCGTTTAATTCAATTCAAAAATACTTTATTAATCCCAGAGGTAAATTAAATGTTGTGCTAACTCATCATCCTGGTTTCATTGAGTTGTTCTAGATGCTGATCGCTGTGGGCAGGAAGGATCTCTTGTAGTGGTCTGTCCTACAACAGATCTGAAGAAGCCTCTGACTGAAGACACTCTGATGTTGTATGACACTCTGTTGTTGTATGACAGTCTGTTGTTGTATGACACTCTGTTGTTGTATGACAGTCTGTTGTTGTATGACA